ATATCAACAACCTCCGATATGCAGATGATACCACTCTGATGGCAGAAAGTGAGGAGGAATTAAAGAACCTCGTAATGAGGGTGAAAGAGGAGAGTACAAAAAACAGTCTGAAGCTCAACATAAAAAAAAAAACCTAAGATCATGGCCACTGGTCCCATCACCTCCTGGCAAATAAAAGGGGAAGTTATGGAGGCAGTAGCAGATTTGACTTTCTTGGGCTCCATGATCACTGCAGATGGAGACAGCAGCCACAAAATTAAAAGCCGCCTGCTTCTTGGGAGGAAAGCGATGACAAACCTAGACAGCATCTTAAAAAGGAGAGAAATTACCTTGCCAACAAAAGTCCGAATACTCCAAGCTATGGTTTTTCCTATAGTGATGTATGGAAGTGAGAGCTCAACCATTAAGAAAGCTGACCGCCGAAGAATTTATGTTTTTGAATTGTGGTGCTAGAAGAGGCTCTTGAGAGTCCCCTGGACTGCAAGGAGAACAAACCTATCCATTCTAAAGGAAACCAAACCTGAGTGTTCACTGGAAGGACAGATCCTGAAGCTGCGGCTCCAATACTTTGGCCATCTCATGAGAAGAGAAGACTTCCTGGAAAAGACCTTGATGTTGAGAAAGTGTGGAGGCAAGAGGAGAAGGGGGTGACAGAGGATGAGATGGTTGGACAGTGTCATAGAAGCAACCAACATGAATTTGACACAACTACAGAAGGCAGTGGAAGATAGGAGGGCCTGGGGTGCTCTGGTCCATCGGGTCATGAAGAGTCGGACACAACTAAATGACAATGAGAGCGAGAGAAGAGGTGACCCAAGGGTCATCAAGTCCAAACGCCTGCCAAAAAAGGGAAATCTACTGCTAAAGCATCCCTGACAGGCAGCAATCTGACCTTTGTTTAAATTTATCCACTGCCTTCCAAGGTACTTTTTTCCATTGTAGAACAACTCTTCTTGTAAGGATGTTCTTCCTAAGGTTTAGTCATCAGGCTGAATCACAGGGGCTGGTTTCTAGACACTTTACCATCTTGATCACTTTTCTCTGGATACATTTCAATTTGTCAATGCCCTTATTAAACTGTAGTGCACAGAACAGGACACAGGTCTTCAGATGAGGCCTTGGCCAAAGCAGAATAGAATAGTACTAATAATACTTCCCTTATTCTGGACCCCATACTCCTGTTGATGTCGCCTGGTATTGTGTTAGCTTTGTTACTACCACCTCACACTGTTAACCCCTAGATTTATTTTCAAAATACTTTGCCAAGCCAGGTATTTTACAATTTTCTCTGTTGAAACTCATTTAGATTTTTTTTACTCTTCTCTGCATTCTATTAAGTTCATCTTAAACCCTGAACCAGGCTTCTGAAGAAATAACTACCCCTTCTAGTTTGGTGTCATCCACAAGTTTTTGAACATTCCTTTTACTCCATGCAAATGGTTTATATAGATGTCAATCAGCACATATCTTGAAGCAGCCCATTTTTGCATTCCTGGCAATAAAAAATAAAATAGAATGAATCATGTAGCTTACCAATTTATTGACCTTTTATGATACCTAAAATATATTGACTGAGATGGCATTTCACTCTGCTGAGAGGTGGGGCTGGTTTCCTGACAAAAGACGAAGGGGAGGCAAAAGAGTGTTGCTATTTATGGCTCTCTTTTTCTTAGAGGGATGGGGCTAAGAGAGCAGATTAATACCAAGCTCTTGTTGGAACATCAAGAGCTTTCTCTCTGGGACCCATCCAAGGTTCTGAAGGGCCCATATCTCTGACTACCCCTGTTTCCTGATGCTGGTTCTCTGCCATTGAAGAGAAGGTTACAAAGTGCAAGATGGAGTCTCAAAATGCCAAAAGGGGGGGGGATGTTTATTCATTAAAACAACCAGTTTTGACCAATATTCTGTTGCCTTTGCAGGGAAAATGAAAAGAGAAAGAAAGGGACGACAGACCTATTACAATAATATGCCTTCTACGAAATATCAAAATAAAATCATTTCAGTCATAGCCATCCTCATAGTGTCTTATGCATACCAATAAAGTATCAGAACTTGTTATTAAAATTACTTTATTTTGGAATTTTGTGGGTGTGATATGATTGTATTAGTTTTGTGGTCCCTTTCTTTTTCCTTTCATTCCCCACCCTTGCCCCAACCCAAAAAGACCATAAAACAATATATTGACCAAAATGTGTTAGGCTTTTTGAACAAATAAGATAATTCTTTTTAATATCTTGACAACATTTCTCTCCTTACACATTGGATTTAACTGGATGTTCCTAGTTTGTTTTAGTTTCTTATTGAGAGAGAAACAAGGCCCTTCTTTATATAAACCCCTCACATTATTCACTCCAAAGAGCACCTAGCTTCTTTTTCCCCTAGCACACCTCTGTGGTGTCACCTTCACCAAGACCAGACAGGATTCCTTTTGAAGAAACCAGTTTATCATGTATGAAGTAAGATAGTTCACACAACAAGCCTTTTTCTTATGGTCCAAAACTTGCTTTCAGGTTATCAGTGGTGAGAACTCCCCTAAAATTTCATAAAAAGACACTTTCAAAATATTACGCCTGTCATTGTCCACACTGCTGATCAACTTTACTTTGGATTACATTTCCAAAAATGTAGTCCTACAAGCAATACCAGGCAACCTTCAGTCCCTCAGTTTTGGACCACAACTCTCATAATCCTGTGCAACTGGAACTCATGACCTGGACTGCTGAGAACTGAAGTCCAAAAAATTCCAAAGTCCAAAGATCTCTCTCTCTCTCTCTCTCTCTCTCTCTCTCTCGCTCTCTCTCTCTCACACACACACACACACACACACACACACACACACACACACACACACACACGTACGTGTATTTAACAGATATTGTGGAATGCTGTAGCCAGAGAGATGTTTGCAACTGCCATGGTTGGCATTTGTGACTTCCTAAGGAAACCAGGGGGTTTTATCCAGGGGGGGAATTCTAAGCTAGTGAATCTGTGGTGGTTTAACTGTTACTGGACTCCAGTTCCCATCAGTCCCAGCCACTATGGCCAATGGCCAGGGGTAACAACATTTGGATCCCAACAATCTACAAAGGGCCACAGGTTCCTGGTGCTGATCTTGAAGCATGCTGTGTTTACTCACAAATATCTTGATTACTATGGATAAAGCACTTCTGATAGAGTGAGCAGACAGAGTAGGGGCAGGCAGGCAGCCCTCTTTTTCCTAGAAAGTGTCTACTACACACTGCTGGGCAGCAGCCAGCATAGCCAGTCATGTTAGGTTAAATAATTCACTCCTCATAAATCTTTTTGAGAAGCCACTTTCCCTTCCCAGGGAGACACATCATTGGCTCTCTCTCACAGAGCTGACCAGGAATTATAAATGCCTGTTTGTGAGGCAGCTTTAATGGGGAAGGTGGGGGGGGGGGAGAGAAAAGAATAAAACATAGATTCTTGAACTCAGACCTGAGAAGGTTGCTGGGCATCAATCTTGTTAAAGAACTAGGGTGGACTTTTGCAGTCAGCCCACTTCATTCTGGTTCCTGACAGACATCGATGATTTGTGTCTGCCCAGCAGAGGAGAAACCCAATAACTCAGAGACAAGAGGGACCAAGCCACAACTATACAAAGTCACAAATGACCTGCAGTAAGTTTGCAAGATTCTATTGTGTTCCCAAAAGCCCTCAGTGTAGGAGCGGTCATATTTTCTTCTCTTCTTCAATGACCAGTATTGTCACTTTTATTTCTTATATGTACCTCAGTTCTATTTGAATCTTCATGTTTAATCCACACAAGCTCTCCATCCTGTAGGACAGTTTCCTATATGCTTCTCATAGCTCTGAGGATAATCATATGCAAGCCTCCAAGGGGTTTCACATAAGAGAATAACCTATAGTTATCTCCATTCTTTGAGGAAATTAATAAACAAACAACAGATGCTCTCATTCATGTTGGGCAATTTCACACATGTATTCCACATGAGGAAATTCATGTGTGAACAATGTAAACTCCATTTTTTTCTGAAGCAGTAATTTACTATATGTATCTCATTTCTTTAACAAAAGACAGGTGTGTTAAATATATGCTGTGACAGACTCAGAAAGTTTGATTATACTAGGTTATCTAGTCTTGCTTTTCAATCACTGAAGGAAGTATTTCTAGCTAAAGGCTATTCAGTCTCTGCTTGAAGGTCACAACTGAAGGATCACCCATGACTTCACAGGGCAGACAAAAACTGGATGTGCAGTGCAAGCAGAAGGGAAGAGGGCGCGGCACTGGCTCATTGAGGATATCTTTCCCAAGGGCTCTCCTACACAGCATTGAAAAGTTTCTTTTTTTGAACTGCAGTTACCAGAATTTCAATGCCAACATGGTCATGAGTGATGCTGACTGGGGGATTCTTGAAAATATAGTACCCAAAAGGAACTTTTCAAGGATTTGGCCCTGAAAGCATATAACACACTGTATGTTGTACATCTAAGCTTCTTGGAGGATGGGTCAGAAAAACATGTGTTATTAAGGACCATTTTCCAATAGCAGATAGTCTAAGACACCTGTCTGTCTGTCTCTGTGTCTATCTGTCTGTCTGTCTGTTGCTTTGTGAGTCACAAAATGTGTAAGCATCCTTCAGTCTTGAGAGACTATGGTAATGTGCTCTGAATAGAGGTCTTGGAACAGCATCTAGTGTGGCTGAGAAGGCCAATTCAAGAGTGACAATTCCTTTCACATTGATGATAAATACAGTCTGTCCCCTGTCCAGCTCCCTGATTTTGCTGGTTTCGGGACTGCCTCTTCGGCTCGGCCTGCTGAACAAGTGTCTCTTCAAATTGGGAGAGGCCTCCAGGCTGAATGCTCAAATGTCAAAGTTGACATCTGTTGAGGATCATTCCTAAGGCCTTCAGATCACTTGCAGATATCCTTGTATCACAGCTGTGGTATCCCTCAGGCAATTTCCCTGCATTAATTCTCCATACAGGAGGTCTTTTGGAATCCGACCGTCAGCCATTCTCGCGACATGCCCAAGCCAACGTAGATGTTGCGGCTTCAGTACTGTATACGTACTAAAAATTCCAGCTCGTTCTAGGACTACTCTATTTGGAACTTTGTTCTGCCAGGTGATACCAAAAATGTGTCAGAGACAACGCATATGCAACGTGTTCAATTTCCTCTCCTGCTATGCACAAAAGGTCCAGGATTCACTGCAGTACAGGAGTGTACTCAGGACACAGGCTCTATAGACCTGGATCTTGGTATATGCCATCAGCTTCTTATTAAGCCATATTCACTTTGTGAGTCTAGAAAACATGGTAGCTGCTTTGCCAATGTGTTTATCCAGCTCCCCTTCTAGAGAAAGGGTGTCAGAGATCATTGAACCAAGGTACATGAAATCATGAACAACCTCCAATTCTTGTGTAGAGATGGTAATAGAGGGAGGTTAGTCCACGCCCTGGCCCATGACTTGTGTTTTCATCAGATTGGTTTTTGATCCAAAATTTTGGCAGGCCTTACTAAAATGATTCATAAATTGTTGGAGCTCTTCAGCAGAATGGGCAACAACAGCTGCATCATCAGCAAAGATGAGGTCCTGCATACATTTCAGCTGGACTTTGGTCTTTGCTCTCAATCTAGAGAGATTACAGACCTTTTGATCTGCTCTAGTCCGGAGATAGACACCTTCTGTTCCAGTTCCAAAAGTGTGCTTCAGCATGACAGCAAAAAAGAAAATGTCCAATGGAAAGGCAAGAGGCAATACAACTGGTTCCAGCGACGTCACAGGAGTTGCCAGAGTGTGACTGTGCACAGTCATGAACTACCTCTGGGACTCCAGCTCTGGATTTTGCCTCGAGGTTAAATCCTGAGGCCTTTTCCATCAGTGGATATAGCCACAAGGCAGTGGAGGTTTGAAATCAGAGTTTGAAAATGAGCCCCACCTACCTGGGACTTCTTGACTGGTTGGTGAGTGAATTAAAAAGAAAGGAAATCTGATCCTCCCCCTAAAACTTCTCTGCTACCCCAGGTGTATGCACTCCTATTTGTCTTTCTTATTTACCAACTTAGTGTCTAAAAATAAAATCAGAGAATTAAAGCTTCTGGTAGCACTTATTTAAAGCTAAAACCCCACCCCTTCAGATCATGCAGTTAGGGAGAACAAAGGTCAGAGCAATCATGCCCTTGCAAGCCTAAAAATCCACAAGCCTAGAAAAAAATACCACAGCAAATAAAATGTCCTCCCATACACAGCTTAATATTAAAAATCTTCCTTTAAACAAAATCTAGTTGTCTGTACTTCTTTTACTGTTCTTATTGCAGTATTTAATGCGTGAATTATTAAACTACCTTTTGGTATATCTTTTGGTTTAATTAAAATGGTCATTAGGACATAGAACCTGTTGTTAATTTATATGAATCCCACCACTGGCTCACCTTCTTCATCCCCTTCCTCTGCTTCCTCTGCAGGAAAAGGGCTTAAAGCCCTTCACAAAACACAGCGACTTGTTTTAATGAAACTAATTCTTGCTTAATGTGCTTGAATACATTTGAAGCTGATAGAGAGTTTCAAAACTTTCAGGATCCAAAATTAATAGAAGGTAGTATAAATAGGGAAAAGGAAGGTGATTGGTTTCCTGTCCTAGTTGTGACCTTCTTGGAGGCATCTTGTCAATTGCTATAGGAAACAGGATGCTGGAGCAGATGGACTTTCAGTTTGATCCAGCAAAATTCTTCACATGCCTCACCTTTATTACTCCTTATCCCTTAACCCATGCAGTATTGTAGCAGCTAACGTAGTTCAAAGGCTTCTCTGAGCCCATCACAGGGAGAAGGAAAATAATTGAGAGAGAGAGAAAGAGAGAGAAAATAAGAAGCGGATTGATAATGCAGCCCATTTTGCCTATCATTTCATAAAAAGGAGATTGGGAAGAAAAACTTGGAACTATTACTGTGTTTGCCACTTTATTTC